TAATCAATATGTAAATCCTGTAATCAATTACTTTATCTTGGTCTAATATGAGCCGTCTCATGCGAAAAGGGCCCTTAAGGTAAAAATTTTCAAAATTGACTTTTCAATGGATTATGATAGATTTTAGTGTAAAATAACCAAATATAATGTTTGATTCAAATATTCAGAATAATTACTGAGATATAGGGAATCAAAGGTTAAGAAAATGTTAAAATTACCTTGAAAAATGACGTTCAACTGACGCTTTTATATCCGTCTCAGAAATATTTGAAATATGTATCTGATTGAAAAAAACATTACTTTATCACACGAAAACATACACGAAAAGTTTATGCATAAATCTCCTGCCTTTATTTTAAATGCAATATTGATAGTTGTTTTCGTTAAAGTATATCTAAGTTATATACTAGTTGTTACAGTGTATTAGTTTAATTTTATAAAGAAGAGGTGTTTTGGACTCTGTATCAGACGTAAGTTACATGTACATTTGTAGAGTGTCGACATGTTTGCATAGATGTCCATTTTGGTCAGTTGTAACACACATGATTTAAAAAATCGGATAAAAAAATTCTTTATGTAAGTTTTCTCATAAATAAAACACAGATAATGGTTTTATATGGTAAATACCCGGTATGCTTTTTTCTTTTAAACACTTGCGACGTCATGTTAGACGTGAATATTGCTCTGACATACGGTTCAGAGAAAAGTAAATATTAAATAAAAAACAAACATAACACACATGTGTTTAGATATTTTACATACTTGAATTTTATTTATTTGTAGTTTATGAAAAATATTTTTTTTTAAATTTTAAAAAAGAATCTGTAAGATAAGACTGATAACATTGCGTCTTCCTTGTAATTATCGAGTTCATGTTATTTTATTCATGACCTAGGTGAATTTATGAAAGAAAGCTTGAAGGGCGGATACAAAAATTGATCAGCAAGAGGGGGGGGGGGATGGGGCATCTGCAGTAACACAATCCGTAAACAGTAAAATCTGGTTTTTTACTTGAATGGGACAACAAACACATTGACCCACAATGACCGTGACAAAAGCAGATCGTCATTTATCGCATTTATAAACACAGAATAAATGTTGTTTTGAAAAAAAAAATCAGATGTTCTCTTCATTAAATTTAATGCTTTACAAAGAATCAACCTTTTTCAAACTTCGTCATTTGCTACATGTAGAGCTGAACAAAATTTTAATCGCATATAAAAAAAAAACCTATATGGTGGGAACGGTTTAAGATTTTTTTTCATTTATTGTTCATCATTTCACTTCGGTTACTATGTAGTTGTGTTAAAAATGATGTGTACATGTAGAGGTATATATCGATTATGTGCATGAACAATCGCTTTAAATGTATTAAAAATTGGATAAAAAAACTAGCACCTTATTATATCAGCAAATTTTTTAAAAATATTCAATATTGGAAATGTCCATTTATATGGAACTAAGCTCTAACAATTCATATTTTCTTATTTTTCCTGATATTTTATTGGCTCTAAATGATATAAACAACAATGAAAATAAGTTGATAGCGCTCAGGTAAAATGTTGGAAAAAATATGTAACATACGCAACTTGCATTTTATGACGTTATCTTTACCGGCGTTTTTCTCATTATGACGTCAAAATACATAAGGGCCCTTTTCGCATGGGACGGCTCATAAAATGTTAAGAATACTTCAATTTAATATTGTGAACCTGAACTCTTGAAAGTAGATGGCCCTTTACTGTAGATTATGCAATAAAAGCACTACAGCAATAAAAAAAAAAAACACTAAACACTTTACAAAAAAACAAACAAACAAACAAAATATCTGTATACAAACTTACTCCATCAGTGTAAAAAAACATAACATACCTAAAAAAATGACTAGAACATTTTAAAAAAATGTCAAAACAATGGACATAATATGGCATACTTTATACATTCACATCGTAAGCACCCTCATAATTTGACAGATGTCAAAACTGAACACGATCCAGTTAGGTAGTCAGTGAGTTTTTAAGTCTAAGTCTTCTGCATTACACTCCCTCTCATGTTTTCCCTAGCATGTTCAACTATTTCATTTAGAAGATAGGAAGGTCCTCCATGCAGTGTTATCTGTATCTCATCAATCTCTGTGTTTAAATGAAGTGTCAATTACTAAGTCTCTGGTAGTTGGCAGGACAGAAGGCTTATTAAATTTGTCCTCAATGACACCAAAGCAATTGAAGATATGGATGTTGTTCATTCAGAAGAATGCAATTGCAGAAAGTCATCTGCACTTTTCTTCACATATTCGCCATTTTCCTTAAAGCTACTCCTCGTAGAATTTCTGCAGCTTTAACAAGAATGTGGCATATAGTTAACTTATTGCTAATGAAGGAATTTTGAAGATCAAAATTTGCTGCTCGTTTCTAGCAAAACCAGCAACTTGCTTCACAACACCCACAATCATGTCAAAAGACGGGGAAAATACCTTTGCTCGTATCAGTCTCATTCCGATTTAATCGGATTTTTAGCCTTGCTAACTGCCTCATTCTTCGGGATATGTAGTTGGTCCTTCATGGCCCCAAATGATTAAGGGAGGACTTTCCCAAATTGGAGGATCAAGTTGTCACCGATTAGGGAAATGCAGATCTTACCCTGCTTCATTTTACTGAGCATTATGTCTTTAATTTCTTTCAGGATGTTGTCTGTGCAAGAAGCAGCCTACTGGTTCAATTTAAGCCAGTCATCAGTGACAAACATATTTCATGCATGGTTAGATGCCCTTTATTCTACTTTGGGTGGTCTTGTAGGTTGGCCAGAAACAGATGTATGCCAGTAACCCGAGGTATTTCAAAATGAACTATTAAGGAGAGTCAAGTGTGTGATTGACAGTACGGAGATTTTTATTGACAGGCCATCAAATTTAAAAGCAAGAGCACTAACCTACTCTTACTACAAGAGGCACAATACCATTAGCTCCTTAACTGCCATACTATCCTTATGAGATAGCCTGCTGCTGATAAGAACTCGGGCTGCGTTTCAGCCTTGTTTACTAGCTCACTACCACATATAAAAGACCAACTATGAGCCTGTGATCGAATTAAGACACAAAGCTGCAGTAGACTTGTTTATTGAACATTTTCTTTTTATCTATTCACTTTTTCTAAATAACATGTAGAATGGAAAATGTTGAGAGAATATTCATCTATCAGATGCTATAATTTACAGTCAAAACGTATTTTAATTGATGAAGTAATCAGCTGTTTTCTTACGGAAATTCAACTCAATGTTTCTTACTTGTACGTTTTTTTAAATTTATTGATGTGCCATTTTTCAAAACAATAATTGTCAACGCAGAAAAATTTTTGCACTGAAAAAAACAACAACAACACGTCTTTTTTTGTCAACTGCACATTGTTTGTATGTTTCCCTCTTCTGGTGTTTTACTGGCCAGTGTGCAAGGCCAGAAGGTCAATGTTCGCTTTTCTTTTCCTTGAACACGAGTATGTCCCAAAAAGCTAGCGACTAAGTTGCATTTGGAAGCTTAGCTGAGTTCTGGCCACTCCCCTTCCTTTCTTGATTGTTATGTTGTGGTTGACAGATTCTTTCATACACATTAATGCATTGACAACACAAATGTCAAGAAGAAACCACAGTAAGTATTTCCACCATTTCTTTGATTTTCTACAGGTAGAGTACTGCATTCTTAGTAAATCAGCTCAATCAACACCCAACGTAAATTTGTTATATTGCTGGCCAATTATTAGACATGGAACATCCTTCTTCGATACATCATTTTGCCTGCGTTGCACGTTGATTTTTTTCTTTTCATTAAGATCACAATTGGTATAGGCAAAAAGAAAACAATCTTTTTTGTCTTTTCATGTTGTCGCTCATAGCTATTTTTTTTCTGCATTATTTTTTAATCTCCATTGATACATCATTGTACTTGCATGAAGTAACTTTATCCTTTATACATAAGTAGAATGTTTGTTGTGTACTTATGAAAAATATTAAGACTATAATCCAGAAAAGTCAGAGAAGAAATGTGGGAAGCAAAAACCAACTCACCAGTATTGTCAGTCCATGCTCAGTGATGTGTGCAGAGATAACAAATTGAATATACCAGGTAAAACATAAGCATTAACAATGGAGCCCTGTAACAAACACAGATGTTTGACGTGATGTAAAGAAGAATGTTGCTGTCATTGAATTCTAAAAATATTCTTGTAAATTCAATTCATTAAACTGAAGTTATTTTTGAATAAAAATTAAAATTTAAAAATGTATACAAAGAAATTGTGTCCAGGCCCCTTTTAATTTATTCAAAGTTTTAAAAAAACGAAGATAAAATTACCTCCTCGTCTAATGAATATGCAATTTTGACTAATACAATATAATTTGGTATATAACCTATATACTTAAAACACAGCAAACAGAACAAACGAAACGAAAATTAAATCAATAAAATACCAGGGACATATATACTAGTTAGTATATACTAGTTAGTATATAGGTCCCTGAAAATACTAGCTAGTAAGTTATATACAGGTACAATTGTACATTTGATTTTTTTTTTCAAAATGCACATACATATTGTTTTCTAACAACTCTAGAAAATTATCGTTGAAGTAAAAAAAACATTTGAGAATAAAATGTTCTCATGCTTGTTCAAAGTATTTTATAGAAAATTAGCAAACAAAAATAATTTACATATGAATGTACCTGATACATGTTACAACTGCTTTAATTAAAAAATACATGTCTGTTCTTAAGTTCAGATTGTCTCCTTTGTTGTTGTTGTCAGCCAAAAATAGAACCAATTTAAGACAGACTTATTCAAGTATTTGTAATTTTTCCAGGTTGGATATATAAATTGGGATACAATATTGTTGTAAATCAGTTAATTTCAATTAGGTATAATTTGTAGGAAATGTATTTACATACATTGATAGTTAAGTGAAGTAAAGTATTTTTTCTTCAAAATTTTGAACTGACAAGAAAAATAACACTATTTATACCTCTAATAAATCAAACTTATCTTTTTTCACCATCCAGGGAAACACCTCAGGGAATGTAGGAGTTGGCTTGATGTTTGCTGCCCCAACGCTCCTAGACTGTAGCATTCTTTTACTTTTAACAGAGCAGATTTCTAAGAATGTTTTGTCAAGGTGGGATTTTACTTTTGTCAGTTTATCACATTGCCAGGAAATTGGATGGGTGATGAATCCACCATCGCATTCTTCATCGCTGGAGGTAAATTCCACCTTAAGAACGTTTCTCACCTGTGCCCTCCTCATTTCATTTTCCCACCCCCTACTGGCTAGGTGGTCTAATGCTTGCTTTCTCCTCTTTGCTTTCGGACGAAGATTTAAATTAAATGTTTTAAATACCTAAATACAGTATATAATAAAGTGAAGCAGATTAAGGGTAGACAATCAAGTAAACAAGCAAACTCAAAGAATTGTTGTCCCCCACATTTGGAGTCTTTGTGATTGTATGCAGGGGCCAAGATTAAGGTATTTCCATCCTCAAGAGATATCACAGGTTTTTGTAAAATCTGTTTCTAATTTAATTTCATATCCAGTAGAAATATATCTTTTGGAAGAATGTTTCAATAGGTATAATGAAAATATTGTTTAGTGTAAGAATAAAAAAACTGAATATTTTCTTTATTTAATCAATTATTCAATCTTTAAAAAAGTTGTTAAGGGCAATAACTTCTTTGCATGTATCTTCATTAAGATATTTTCTTTATTGTACTTCTAATGTAAAGTGGTTTCCCTGATATTCACAACTGATACATACTTCAGGGTTGCAAATAACATCTTAAACCTTATGGGCCATGTAGGCCCCCAACTTTACAAGTTCTACTAGCCGACATTGATATTTTGGAGCCCTGTTTTCTGTTCAATTAGTAAAAAAAATATTTTCTTACTGTCTTATTAAAATCTCCGAGAAAAATACTTTATTCCACAGCATTTCTTTTCAAATTTTTCTGCAGATTTCAACACCACTAATGTATCAAATGTATAGGAGTAAAATATATGATTAATTATCAGATACCATTCTTAAAGCGGGAGAAAACATAAGAAATAATACCTGAAGTAAGCAACAAAACTGTGTCACCGTAAATCGAAGGTTTTAACAACGCTTGGATCTGTAGCTCTCTGCTTTATCTGTCTGAATTTTCTCAATCAGAGAGCTACAGTTCTGCAGCTAATTGTAACCATCTTGATTGTGTGTCCTTCAAACTTCCAGAACAAAAACATGAAGTCAAAAATGATATACCTTTCTTAAAAGTCTTGTCATAGGTAATGTACATGTAAAATATGAAAGCCCAATCTTTTCTCATTCAAAAGTTATGATCAAGGTTAAAGATTTTGTGACAGACAAAGAGAGGAATGAGATTTAATATCCCCTTGCTTTCGTGAAAGTGGGGGACAATATGTAAATCAAATGTTACCTCCTTCTTTCTCTCACATAAAACTCTCTTTTGCTTCTGTTCTTGAAGCTTGGACTTGGACTTCAGGACTGCCTCCTGCTTCTTTGAGATAAAGTTTCTTTAAATGCCATCTATTCAAACACAAGAAAAAAATTAAAACATCCGTGCACAATATACCATAAATTATCTTTCAGAGTTTGCAGGTGACACAAGGATTTTAGTTTATTTCAAAGAGGTCACAACTGTTATTATTTTTTGGTATTTGAGAGAGAAGGTAATTCTTAGAAAAGCAAAGAAAGCAAACAAGTAGATGTTTAGATATTTGTCATTTTTATTTGGAAGAAAAAAAACTATGCTGCAATTTTTCTCCAGGTAGTGGGCCAAAAAATCTTCATTTGCCAGCTCTTAATAAAACACTTGTAATTACATATAGAAATTAAAAACTTGCAATTATGAGGGGTCATCAAAAAGTTGGACTGATGCCGTAAAATTAATAGTGTGCAGTTGATGCTTACAAAATTATGAAACATAAAACAACAAAAGTTGAAAAAGTTTTGAAAATTTTAGCTAGATATGTTGATAATTTGCTAAATTATTGTTAAATACAAGACATTATATGATACTCCGATAGGGCTGAGATGATTCAGGGTTAAATCATAAGATGTAGGCTAGATCCTGTCAAATGATTTGACAAGCTCTTCTTCAACTGTTCAGGGTTAAATCATAAGATGTAGGCTAGATCCTGTCCTATGATTTGACAAGCTCTTCTTCAACTGTTCAGGGTTAAATCATAAGATGTAGGCTAGATCCTGTCCAATGATTTGACAAGCTCTACTTCAACTGTTCGGGGTTAAATCATAAGATGTAGGCTAGATCCTGTCCTATGATTTGACAAGCTCTTCTTCAACTGTTCAGGGTTAAATCATAAGATGTAGGCTAGATCCTGTCCTATGATTTGACAAGCTCTTCTTCAACTGTTCAGGGTTAAATCATAAGATGTAGGCTAGATCCTGTCCAATGATTTGACAAGCTCTTCTTCAACTGTTCAGGGTTAAATCATAAGATGTAGGCTAGATCCTGTCCAATGATTTGACAAGCTCTACTTCAACTGTTCGGGGTTAAATCATAAGATGTAGGCTAGATCCTGTCCTATGATTTGACAAGCTCTTCTTCAACTGTTCAGGGTTAAATCATAAGATGTAGGCTAGATCCTGTCCAATGATTTGACAAGCTCTACTTCAACTGTTCGGGGTTAAATCATAAGATGTAGGCTAGATCCTGTCCTATGATTTGACAAGCTCTTCTTCAACTGTTCAGGGTTAAATCATAAGATGTAGGCTAGATCCTGTCCTATGATTTGACAAGCTCTTCTTCAACTGTTCAGGGTTAAATCATAAGATGTAGGCTAGATCCTGTCCAATGATTTGACAAGCTCTTCTTCAACTGTTCAGGGTTAAATCATAAGATGTAGGCTAGATCCTGTCCAATGATTTGACAAGCTCTTCTTCAACTGTTCAGGGTTAAATCATAAGATGTAGGCTAGATCCTGTCCTATGATTTGACAAGCTCTTCTTCAACTGTTCAGGGTTAAATCATAAGATGTAGGCTAGATCCTGTCCTATGATTTGACAAGCTCTTCTTCAACTGTTCAGGGTTAAATCATAAGATGTAGGCTAGATCCTGTCCAATGATTTGACAAGCTCTTCTTCAACTGTTCAGGGTTAAATCATAAGATGTAGGCTAGATCCTGTCCTATGATTTGACAAGCTCTTCTTCAACTGTTCAGGGTTAAATCATAAGATGTAGGCTAGATCCTGTCCTATGATTTGACAAGCTCTTCTTCAACTGTTCAGGGTTAAATCATAAGATGTAGGCTAGACCCTGTCCAATGATTTGACAAGCTCTTCTTCAACTGTTCAGGGTTAAATCATAAGATGTAGGCTAGATCCTGTCCAATGATTTGACAAGCTCTTCTTCAACTGTTCAGGGTTAAATCATAAGATGTGGGCTAGACCCTGTCCAATGATTTGACAAGCTCTTCTTCAACTGTTCAGGGTTAAATCATAAGATGTGGGCTAGATCCTGTCCAATGATTTGACAAGCTCTTCTTCAACTGTTCAGGGTTAAATCATAAGATGTAGGCTAGATCCTGTCCAATGATTTGACAAGCTCTTCTTCAACTGTTCAGGGTTAAATCATAAGATGTGGGCTAGACCCTGTCCAATGATTTGACAAGCTCTTCTTCAACTGTTCAGGGTTAAATCATAAGATGTAGGCTAGACCCTGTCCAATGATTTGACAAGCTCTTCTTCAACTGTTCAGGGTTAAATCATAAGATGTAGGCTAGATCCTGTCCAATGATTTGACAAGCTCTTCTTCAACTGTTCAGGGTTAAATCATAAGATGTAGGCTAGATCCTGTCCAATGATTTGACAAGCTCTTCTTCAACTGTTCAGGGTTAAATCATAAGATGTAGGCTAGATCCTCTCAAATGATTTGACAAGCTCTTCTTCAACTGTTCAGGGTTAAATCATAAGATGTAGGCTAGACCCTGTCCAATGATTTGACAAGCTCTTCTTCAACTGTTCAGGGTTAAATCATAAGATGTAGGCTAGACCCTGTCCAATGATTTGACAAGCTCTTCTTCAACTGTTCAGGGTTAAATCATAAGATGTAGGCTAGACCCTGTCCAATGATTTGACAAGCTCTTCTTCAACTGTTCAGGGTTAAATCATAAGATGTAGGCTAGATCCTGTCCAATGATTTGACAAGCTCTTCTTCAACTGTTCAGGGTTAAATCATAAGATGTAGGCTAGATCCTCTCAAATGATTTGACAAGCTCTTCTTCAACTGTTCAGGGTTAAATCATAAGATGTAGGCTAGATCCTCTCAAATGATTTGACAAGCTCTTCTTCAACTGTTCAGGGTTAAATCATAAGATGTAGGCTAGACCCTGTCCAATGATTTGACAAGCTCTTCTTCAACTGTTCAGGGTTAAATCATAAGATGTAGGCTAGACCCTGTCCAATGATTTGACAAGCTCTTCTTCAACTGTTCAGGGTTAAATCATAAGATGTAGGCTAGACCCTGTCCAATGATTTGACAAGCTCTTCTTCAACTGTTCAGGGTTAAATCATAAGATGTAGGCTAGACCCTGTCCAATGATTTGACAAGCTCTTCTTCAACTGTTCAGGGTTAAATCATAAGATGTAGGCTAGATCCTGTCCAATGATTTGACAAGCTCTTCTTCAACTGTTCAGGGTTAAAACATAAGATGTAGGCTAGATCCTGTCCTATGATTTGACAAGCTCTTCTTCAACTGTTCAGGGTTAAATCATAAGATGTAGGCTAGATCCTGTCCAATGATTTGACAAGCTCTTCTTCAACTGTTCAGGGTTAAATGATAAGATGTAGGCTAGATCCTCTCAAATGATTTGACAAGCTCTTCTTCAACTGTTCAGGGTTAAATCATAAGATGTAGGCTAGACCCTGTCCAATGATTTGACAAGCTCTTCTTCAACTGTTCGGGGTTAAATCATAAGATGTAGGCTAGACCCTGTCCAATGATTTGACAAGCTCTTCTTCAACTGTTCAGGGTTAAATCATAAGATGTAGGCTAGACCCTGTCCAATGATTTGACAAGCTCTTCTTCAACTGTTCAGGGTTAAATCATAAGATGTAGGCTAGACCCTGTCCAATGATTTGACAAGCTCTTCTTCAACTGTTCAGGGTTAAATCATAAGATGTAGGCTAGATCCTGTCCAATGATTTGACAAGCTCTTCTTCAACTGTTCAGGGTTAAATCATAAGATGTAGGCTAGATCCTGTCCTATGATTTGACAAGCTCTTCTTCAACTGTTCAGGGTTAAATCATAAGATGTAGGCTAGATCCTGTCCAATGATTTGACAAGCTCTTCTTCAACTGTTCAGGGTTAAATCATAAGATGTAGGCTAGATCCTCTCAAATGATTTGACAAGCTCTTCTTCAACTGTTCAGGGTTAAATCATAAGATGTAGGCTAGACCCTGTCCAATGATTTGACAAGCTCTTCTTCAACTGTTCAGGGTTAAATCATAAGATGTAGGCTAGACCCTGTCCAATGATTTGACAAGCTCTTCTTCAACTGTTCAGGGTTAAATCATAAGATGTAGGCTAGACCCTGTCCAATGATTTGACAAGCTCTTCTTCAACTGTTCAGGGTTAAATCATAAGATGTAGGCTAGACCCTGTCCAATGATTTGACAAGCTCTTCTTCAACTGTTCAGGGTTAAATCATAAGATGTAGGCTAGATCCTGTCCAATGATTTGACAAGCTCTTCTTCAACTGTTCAGGGTTAAATCATAAGATGTAGGCTAGATCCTGTCCAATGATTTGACAAGCTCTTCTTCAACTGTTCAGGGTTAAATCATAAGATGTAGGCTAGATCCTGTCCAATGATTTGACAAGCTCTTCTTCAACTGTTCAGGGTTAAATGATAAGATGTAGGCTAGATCCTCTCAAATGATTTGATAAGCTCTTCTTCAACTGTTCAGGGTTAAATCGTAAGATGTAGGCTAGACCCTGTCCAATGATTTGACAAGCTCTTCTTCAACTGTTCGGGGATAAATCATAAGATGTAGGCTAGATCCTGTCCAATGATTTGACAAGCTCTTCTTCAACTGTTCAGGGTTAAATCGTAAGATGTAGGCTAGATCCTGTCTAATGATTTAACAAGCTCTTCTTCAACTGTTCAGGGTTAAATCATAAGATGTAGGCTAGATCCTGTCAAATGATTTGACAACCTCTTCTTCAACTGTTCGGGGTTAAATCATAAGATGTAGGCTAGATCCTGTCAAATGATTTGACAAGCTCTTCTTCAACTGTTCGGGGTTAAATCATAAGATGTAGGCTAGACCCTGTCAAATGATTTGACAAGCTCTTCTTCAACTGTTCAGAGTGTTCCTGAAACACTACTGACCACAGAGTAAGAACAAATCATAAGAGAACCTGTTACATCACTGCTTATAAAAACTCAATCAATTTATTAAAAAATAAAAAATGATTAATTCTACAGATAGAAAAGACGATGCTTGCTAAATGTGTAAAAAATCATTGATGTACCTTGACTGGTTTTAATT